AACTGTCTTTCTGGAAGCCAGGGGCACATATTGCTAGTACTTAGCTCAAAAGCTCAAGGAAAAAGATGGACAGTCAATATCTCAACAGACATGTGATAGAATGAACTATAACACTGCAACTAGGAATTAATTTCCAGGAAATCACACATGATTCCACTCCCATCGGCTGTTTCCTAAGTGTGTGACTTAGGACAGGGGTGTTTACCTCTCCCCTGTAAAATGGGAACTGGTCACAATGAGAGTATCAAGAACGGGAAGGGCCCAGCAAGACACAGGGATGCAGGACAGTGAGCTCCACCTCCTCCCCTTCACTCCTCCATTTTTCCACCTCCTCCCCCTCCCCAAGAAAACCTTCGATTTTGAGAAGTTGAAGAAAACAGTGAAAACCAGGATGTCAGTAATAATAATTAGGTTGAAAACGGAAGAGTTTCAAGGTACAAAATGACATATGAGGGCAGAATGGGGCACATAGAAGGCCATCCTAGTGCACGGGTCTCTTTGACAGCAAGATATTTAGCTGGGCAAGAATTATGAAAGGCGGACTGGTGTGGTCCCTGCTGGGCTCCTGACTTTGCTCCCTGGAGTCCTTCAACCTCCATCCCTTATAAATTTTCCTCAATCCCTCCCATGTATCACCCTGCAACTCCCCCACTTAAAAAAGCCAGAAACTGTGGGGCTGGCTAACAGAAACATAAAATTAAGATGAAGTCAGAATATTTGAAACTGGGGCTGACTCTCCAATTCCAAGACCTAACATTAATTAAGTCATCAGCTGACCAGTACAAGGAATACACCACCCAAGGAATATGTAAACTGCTGCTTTCAAAGGAGTTTGCATTTCAAAAGCTCCCTTAGGGATCTCACTAACATCTCCCCTCCCCCACACTTTCCATAACACTACAAAGCAAAGGCGGGTCTCCTTTTAAAAAAAAAAAAAAAAAAAAAGGCAAATCTGGATAAACCTAACATTTATAGACTGAAGTCTATGACATACTTTTCTGCAGATTGCAAAGGCTTCAGAGGAGGGAAAAGGCCCAGAGTATCTCTATACAAAGGATATTCTCTAAGCAAGGCTAGGAAATGGGTGTAAACTGTAGGAACAGAGCACGGAACAGAGGAAGTATAAGGTAGGGGGAGGTACCTCTTGCAGGATCTTGAAAACAATAGTCACTTACAAATTCTCTTCCCCTCCATTCCCAACTAACAAGTAAGTAGGCTGAGCTTGGCTTTAAGAGGCCCTTGAATTCAAGAGGAAAAACTTAAGAACCAGAACTTACCCGATGGATAATCAGCACTCCAAAACTGATCTACCAACTCTAACTAACCACATCTCGTTACCTTAGCAATTCCCACTCTCAAAAACATCTTATCCTCAGCGCCTCCCCACAAAAAAAGGAATGCAACACACAGTAAAGATGACAGAGAGTGAACCCCATGGGATTCTAACTCCATCTGCTCTTCTCAGCAAAAGTCTAAGCATGCCATGGTGAAAGGTGACATGCTTTGAAAACCCAGGCAGACCACATGTTGCCGAGTTAGAGAACAGAAGAGCACTCTTCACAATTGGCCGTTCCTGTTCCCAGTGAGCACCAGGAGTTTCACTGGCATGATGAAATTGTGCAAGAGGTAGTTTCGGCACGACACCATATATTAACATCTGTAATGTCTACCCCCTTACAGCAGGTACATGAGGCACTGAATTTTGATCTGGCTTCTGCACATCAAAGGAAGAAGCACATCCTTCTGTGCTTTTTTTATTATTATTATTATTATTCAATAAAACCATGTTCTCAGCACCCAATCAGTCCCAGGCACTGGAGATAGAAAAATGAGTAAAACACTGACCCTGCCCTCCAGGCATTCACGATTGATAATGTTTTGCTAAACTCATTTTCTCCTCTCTATTTACATATTCACTTATTAGCATTTGTTCATTCAAGCAGGGCTCATGCAATTTCATGCCATAAATTATGCCATTATTTCTTCTCTAAATAAGCATTTTGTTAACAATTAGCTAAAAGCAACTACAGGTTGAGGAACTGTGCTGGACTAGATTAATTTAAATGCAAAATGTATCCTGATAAACTCAACTACCGTATTTACTGAGTGAGATATAAGTCTCCAGGGCAACACCCTTCCCAGGATTCACACCAACAAAATCCTCCCGAGGGCAGAAACTGCTCATTCACATAAAAAAAAAGTGTTAACCTCATAGGCCTGGAGGTTTGATTTTTACACCTTAGATCAGTGGTTGGCAAACTCATTAGTCAACAGAGCCAAATATCAACAGTACAATGATTGAAATTTCTTTTGAGAGCCAAATAGACTTGCCCAGGCCGTGGTATTTTGTGGGAGAGCCACACTCAAGGGGCCAAAGAGCCGAATGTGGCTCGAGAGCTGCAGTTTGCCGACCAAGGCCTTTGATGAACCTAAATGAATAAAGTAGCAACTGGGCCTGAACCCTTGTTAGAATGTTTGGACGTGTATACCCCTCGCTAGCTCTACTCCCCTCCTCCAGTTCAGTCCTGAAAAACACTCTTTCAAATAGCATTTTCCTAAAATACTCGATGAAATTACATTTCTACCAAGTTGATCTAGGATGGTTCGCTTTGGAGAATCTCGTGGCATCAGGCTCCTGATGGTGGAGGTCAGAGACCTGGGATGCAGTCTGACATTGTCAGCTAATCAGATGCGAATGCCATTGGTCAAGCCACTTCACCTGACTAGGCCGAGAGATTGCAAAATCCCTTATTTTAAATACAAAAATGAAGGAAATTGTGTTTAAAAAAAAAAATCTTAGTAAGAACAGAGAAAGGCATCTATTAGTGCCTTGATACAGTTCCCCAAGTTGCAGTTTTCTATAAACACTTGGATGACAGCTTTCTCGTGGAAAAGAGTTCCTTCCTTTTTTAAAAAAAATTTCTTTGACTAAGGTATTATATATGTGTCCTTATCCCCCCATTGCCCTAAGAGTTCTTTCCTTTAAACCATGTGACTTTCTCCAGGCAGGTAAAGAGGAGAGGTAACCCATGTCTTCTGGGTTTTAGTAAGGGGCAATTCTGCTGTTCAAGGTATAACGCTTCAAAAAGAAATGGGTAAACGTGAGTAGAACCTATCTGAGACGATCTTCACGCTCTTTTCCAGCCTCACACGGAACTAGTTCTGTAAGAAGCACATACTTTCTCTTCGCCTGCATCTGCCCTTTGAGGAGCAGCTCTGAGCTTCTCAAGCCCTACCCCACCTCTTAACTCCACCAGAGAACACTCGGCTACAGTTGACCCAACAGCCCTGGAATCTGCCAGGGAAAGAATACATTTTCAGACAGTGCCACCTGCCAACCCTCCCCTCCAAACAACGCTGAGCACCCCCTTCCATTTAAGTGAGCCCCTCCCACTCTCCACTCCCCAGCCTATGCCCTAGAAAGGACATCAGGTGATGTTATCAGATCCATTTCTCAGTAACTGATAATTTAGCGAGATCTAAGCAAGAAATAAGATAAGCTTCCCGCCCATCGGCAAATTTAAAAAAACAATCTGCCACCATAACTTTCAAATGCCCATTGGGTTTTCTGGGGTTTCACTGCAGGACTATATTCACTAGCAATGTTCAGAAAATGCCAAGACAGGCGGTTTTAGATTTTTAAATATATACATTCTTTAAAAAGTGCCAGAGAGGGAGAGGAGCAGACAGAAATCTTTGACAAACCCTCTCTGATTCTCTATACAGTAGCAATCCTAACACCAATGGACCTCTGAAAATGAAATAAACGGGACCTTAAAGCAAATAATGAAACACGGGGGGTCAGGGAGAGGGAGGGGAGGAGAAATTATGAGAGAACTATCGTTTATTGAGCAACTACTATAAGCCAGACAATATCCTGAGTTACTACATACACAGCAAGTTAGCTAAATCTCAAAAAACCTAAGAAAGGCTCTTTTGCCTTCCTTTTCAGGTGACAAAATTGAAGATCAGAGGCATTGAATAACTTGGTCATATAGTCAGTAATTAAGCCTAAGAGCTTAATTACTATGCTAAAAAGGATACATAGTTCATCATTCCGAAGAGGGAGTTTCTCTCTCAAAACCAGACCTCACACTTGAAAAATTAAAGATCCGAGAGTAAATTCACAGCCTTTTCTGATGATCTACACCACTGCCAACTCCAAACCTTTAAGCAAAAGTTGACTTTTAACGCGTACATTAAGATGTCTGACTCTCAAAACCCCCATCCAGGCAATTCCTCTGTCTACCTGCCTACCGACAGCTCCATCCAAATAAATCTAATAATACCCCCAGGCAGGAACCCTCCACCGAGTCAAGCTCCACTCTCCATGCAGAAGAACTATTTGTCAGAAAGTATGCCAAGTCCAAGGGCGGTTTGAAAACATTACTGGACATTTCAAAATACACAAGACATTTAAACAAAACAAGCCCCAATTGTTTTTAGCCCCAAACATGTAACAACAAATCCCCTGTAACTTCTACAAGTGGAAGAACTGCACGCACAACCAAGTATAAAGTTGGTGGTGGTGGTGCTGAGTAAGGCTATGGTTCCTTTTCTCTCCTGGCCAGACAACAAATGGTGAAGAGATAAACATCAGTTAACCTCAGCCTCTTCCCAACTCCCAACTGTGACAGTACCCCCAGCCAACTTCTAATTATTTACAGTTACTCTTTGAAGGACTCTTTCCAGCCTTTTCCACACCAGCTTCTCAGCAGGTGTCCCAGATGAGACTGTTGCCTACCACCCGATTGTTTAAAAAAATAATAACAATCTTTGATGTGATGTGTGGCTGGTTATTTTTTAATTAGGGTTGGAAACCCCAGACCGCGTGCCTTTAACCCCCTGAGCGCTGGAGCCAGAGAAGGACGACCCCGAGGAGCGGGCTGGCCAAGCCGGGGTGCGCGCACAGGGGACCCCGGGTCGCCGAGGGGCTGCCCTCCCTCCTTCCCCGGCCCGCGCTCGCCCCTTCCCGCGCCTCCCCGCCTCCGGGGACTCACCAGGATGCCCATCACGTCGGTCCAGAGCCGGGAGAATGTCTTGGACATGCCCGCCCCGGTCTCGGACTCCGACTCGGACTCTGCCTCTGGCCCCGGGCCGGCTGCACCCGCGGCTCCCGCATCCTCCATGGCCGCGTCCCGCACACTGCGTCCGGGTCCCCGGGGCACGCGCGCCCCTCACCAGATCGCCGCCCCCGGCGCCGGGTCCCCGCCCGCGGCGTCACCGAGGCGCGCGCCCGCGCCGCATCCCCCGGCGCTGCGATCCCGCGGGCCCCTCGCCGGCGCCCGCCCCGCGGCTGACAAGTCCACCAACTTTCCCACCCGGGGGCGCGGGAGGCAAAGTGCGCACCACCGAGCGCGGCGGCGGGGACCGGGGCCGCCCGGGCGCGATCCCACCCGCGGCCAAGGCGTTTCTTCCGGTGACGAGGCCCCGACGCGCCGCGGCACGCGACTCCCGCCCGCCCGCAGGTCCGGGCAGCTCCCGCCCGGGTCACCGCGGCGCCTCCGCAGCTCGGGATGCGCTCCCGGGACCCCCTTCTCTTCGAAATGAGCTCTTCCAGCTCCACAGGACTCCCGCCCCTCCCGGCCCCGAGAAAGCAGTTTAGCAACAAAAGGTGCTCTGATGTCAGGCTCTCGGCATGGAAATGAGCCGCGGGCAGGAGCTGGGAGCGCCGGTGGCAGGGGCGGCCGCCGCACGTAGCCTCCCGCCCGCGCCCGCCCGTTCCCAATCCCGCCGCCTCCCTGCTGCTCTGGGGTCCCGGCAAGTGCGAAGTTCGTCCCCGAGCTGCAGATCACACGCCGTCAGTGGCCATCCACGCCTAAAGCGACCTCAGCCCAGCTCGGTCCCTGTGGGCCAAGACTTGGTGGAAAAGCGTGTGTGAACTCTTGGGCAAGGGCCATGGTTGGTGTTTTCGTTAGGCGTGGGGACGTTTTGGTTCCTGGGCGCCCTCAATGCCATGCACTGCTAGGGGTTCCCGCCAATGAGGGGCATGGCCCTCTGGGGTTCCTTTTTGCAGCAAGGACAGAGGGAAGGGCGGTTTTCTAAAGGAAATGTGATGGCCGTAGCCAATCCACACTGGGGGCCCTGTGCGTGCTTTTCCAAGGACAAGATTCGTGTTAGATCTGTTTTATGGGGGAAATGGCCCTGTAAAGGTATTTGCCCTTTTCTGAGTCATTCTTTAAAAAACACTCAGAGAGCCTGGGCGGTGTGGCTCAGTGGTTGCGCATCGACTCATGAGCCAGGAGGTCACGGTTTGATTCCCAGTCAGGGCACATTCCTGGGTTGCTGGCTAGATCCTGAATATGGGGCATGCAAGAGGCAGCTCATTGATGTTGTTTCTCATTGAAGTTTCTATCTCTATTCCTCTCCCTCTCTTTCTAAAAATTAAAAAATAAAAAATTTTAAAAATCGATAAAAACATACAGTATTTTAAAAAAAAAACAGTACATTATTAAAAAAGAAAAAGAAAAAACTTGAGAGAATTTCCCCTGGGATATGACTGTACATGTCACCTTTGATTTGGTGATTGACCACTTTGTGAAACAGTCAAGAGACCACCAGGAACCTCCCCATAAGTGAAATGGCTGAGTGGCAAAAAACAAACAAACACATGAGGTGCCCCAGGCAGAGGGAGCTTGGCTAGTTTTGGAGGCCTCAGTTGTTGTTGCTTTTTCCTTCTGAAGAAGAAAAAGAAAAAGGAGAAGGAGAAGAAGGAAGAAGGAGAAGAAGGAAGAAAGAGAAGGAGGAGGAGGAGGAGAACAAGAAGAAGAACAAGAAAAACAAGAACAAGAAGAACAAGAAGAAAAAGAGCATGTCCTTGAAATCCCCTTACTAAAGCATTAATTCTATCAATGCAAATGACTGAATAGCATTTACAGAAAATTCCAAATAAAGTAATTAAGTGTAAGAACATAATCTTCGACAATATTTTTTCAAAGGAAAGAAAACAAATGAGAAAGTTTTCCTTTGAAAATAAGGTGGTATTGTGTTGAAGTAGAAAGAACAAAGGAAGCTGAATCAACATGACCAGGCCTAATATTTCTTGCACTAATGTCAGAGATGCTGGGAATACAAATAAATTCAGTTGAAGCAATGGTAGGCTGATAATAAATTATTAATATTATTATTACATCTTTAAAGACATGAAAGTAAGTAAATGATGGGAACAGGTAAAACACCCTTTTAGAGTTGATTTTACTGGTATATTTAAGAATTTCATTGTATAATCCTAAAGGTCCGATGCACAAAGATTTGTGCAAGAATGGGCCTTCCTTCCCCTGGCTGCTGGCTCCACCTTCTCTCTGGCTCAGAGCTGCATTTCCCCTTTCCCATGCTGCCCAAAGGCCTGGAACAGCTGGGGTGGAGCAGAATGGCCGCTCCACACCTGTGTATGCAAATTAACTCACCATCTTTGTTGGGCTAATTTGCATAGTCACCCCTAATTGGCTGGTGGGTATCCCAATTTGCATCTTTTTCTTTTATTAGTGTAGATTACCCATTTGGCACTTTATTAAGTTCAAGAAAATACAAAGAACTGTGCTGCTTCTACCAGCAGGCGGCTTATTCTCTGCATAAGTATTTTCTGGCAAGTGACTGAGCACAGAGTCAAGAAAATGGAGGAGTGGGGGGTAGCTTAAGGGCACCAATCACAGCCTTTCCCTTAACTCATCAGAGGACCCAGAGGCAAAGCACTTAACCTTTGGGAGGTCGGGGATGTCCATTTTCCAGTCCTAGATGAGGCAAGACCACACTCCTTGCCACCTCCTTCCTCAGAGGAGATATTATATTTCAGGATCACCTTTTAGCAACAACACATACACACATATCAGTATAATTAAACCTATAGAAATTCATCCACCCTAGATATTCAGGCTCCTTTACCTGGTGCTCCCTAATAAATGGATAGAAAACTAAGATAAGTACTGTTTGGGGAGGGAGTGGGAGAGAATGTTGATAACAATATTTTTTTTTTCTTTTATTAGCATTTACTTTATTCTGAATTTACTCCCAGGGCATATGTTTTTGTTTCTTCAGTTTCTTCTGGAACATATTTTTCTTCTGTGCAGCCCCCTCTTCTAGTTTAGGAGCAATCTGCTGTTTTTCACTAAGGAACATCCCCATGGGGCAGAGAGAGCTCACATGTGGGTTAACCTGTCCACGAGCTCTGTAAATTTTATATCACATCTTGGGAGCTTTGTTCGCCTGGATGTGCTCACTGACCTTCATCTAAATAAACCCTTAAGATCAGCATTACTCTCTTCATTTTTAAACATGTGAAGCAAAAAAGTCAGCATTCTTTGGGCCATTGATTCGGCGTTCAGCCCCACTGTTCAGCCTGGGCACACCTGCCAATGCCACCATTGTAATAACGGAAAGGCACACACTGCTTCTGTAGAATGACATCCTTCAGACACGAGTGGCTTTTTTGACATGCAAGCCCTTGCTGGCCTGGGCAGTTTCACGGGTGTTCCTAAAGTGAACATGAAGATTTGAACCTTTTGATTTGCATGATTTTGTGGGTCTTTCTGGGTAAAGGAAGAGCTTGATAACAATAATCTTGTTTTCTGTACAGCAACATGAAATTTTAAGTAGTCACTTTTTTACTTCTTGAACATGAATAGTTTGGTTGGCCATTTAAAAAATGAAGCTGAAACTCTTTACTCATCCACTTATGATGCGACAGTCCCTCAAAATGAGGCTGATTATTCTCCCAAATTTCAGTCTTTTTTCCTTTAGTTGACGTCCATCTTTATTTCCAAAAATTCCCTTAGGACTTTTTAACAAAATATGAAAGGCTAATCATCAACATCACAATCATCATCATACTATTTCAGAATCCCATGAGTTACCATTTACTAAAAGCTTTTAGCATAGGATGGGAAAGGGTCCACGAGGTGAACTTGGTCAAATCCCTTATTTTTCAATGAAGAAATGGGCTCCAGAGGACTTGAATGATCAACCTAGGTGAGCATAGCTACACAGAGCAAAATCAAAGCCAGACATCCTGATTACTTTTAAAAGTGCTTTCATTTAGATTGTATTTGATTCTCACAAAGCTCTGGAAGGTAGGCAAGTATAGATGCTCCATTAAAGATGTATGTACAGAAAATATACAAAAATCCTGCTCTTGTTTTTCCCCTTTCCATGGGACTCTCTTGCATCCAGCTCATTGGCATTGTTATGATGGTGGTGGCGGACTTCCAAAGGATCCTCTTCTAGAAAATCCTCTTGTAGAAAGGGATCTAGAATATTTTCCAGGCATCTACTAGGGACTCAAAACTGATTGTAAAATAAATTCTGTAGGTCCTGATAAACTTTCATTGCAATGAATGAGAAGAAAACTATTAGAGTGCATTCACTGAGTGTAAATATTGACAACGTACTTTCCACAAAAAAAAACTTATTTCTTGAAAGTTAGTCTCAGTCATATTGCTGCATATATATGTGTACAACACGTGTACATATAGTCACACGTGTACATATACATGTAAATGCTGGCTTGTTTTGTAAAAAGTGGTTCTTACTCTGAGTCAGGAGAACTAAAGATTAAAAGTCACTAATCCACAGACATTGCAGAGTGTTGCCAGTTATTTGTTGAGGTCATAAGGAAGGTAACCAGCCAATTTCTTAGCAGCCGTGGTGGAATTGGTAGTAGGCACAAAGTTAATGGGGTCAGGAAAGCTGGTTTAAACTTTTACTCAAGTTGTAATAAGACTTGAGTGAAAGAGAAAGTGGTTTATTGGGCAAGTTATTTATCTCATCTGTACAATGAGATAATTCCACCTATTTAATATGGTTGTTGTGAGGTTGTTGGGGATAAGGCAAATGGTAATTCTCTGAGTTAGAACTGTTTTCCCATTTTCCTTCCCTTTACTCTTCCTTCCTTTATCCACTCATACCATGAGGATACCTGTAAAATTTCCTTGTTTATACCTAAATGTCTCGAGTTACACAAAGGAGTAATTCCTAGCTCTGGAATGTGGTTGTTGCATAATGAATTTAGGAAGTTATATCTAGCAGGGTGGGGTCATTAGAACTATTCAGTTTTAATGGTAAAGATAATAATAACAACAGTAATATCAATATCTATTATTTACTGAAAACCTATGCTATGACACTGTTTGACACTTTAAGATTATTTTATTTAAACTTTAAATAGAACATATGACTTTTCACTACAATCCAACCCTCCCACCTTGCTCACTTCCCATTTCAGTAGTACTCAGTGGCATCCATGTATTTGTTCAAGCTATCAACTTCGGAGACATGCTTGGTTCCTTCTCCTCCCACACCATCACTCTCACCGAAATCACGGATAAGCTTAATTGATTCTACTTTCTAAATATAGGATATCCCCCACAAAATTACTCTTTGGATAATTATAACGTCAGTGTTTACTAAAATACATTTCATTTTCCAAATTGAGCTATTAGCTGCTACAGTGTGTATACATTTTGGGTGATACCATGTGTAGGCTAAGTGTATCTCCTTTTCTCCATCTCCACTGCTACTGCTTTAGTCCATACCACCACCATCTTTTAGAATTTTTATCTAGATCAGTGCTTCTCTCATGTGGACTCAAGGACAGAGGCATCAGTATCACCTAGGAACTTGTTAAAAATACAAATTTCTACCATCAGCACCAAAAGCCTACTGAGTAA